ATCCTTTGGGGCATAAATCAACAATTAAATTATTGTACTGCAAATTAAACCCAGGCCCTTCACACTGAGCTGTATCTCCAACCCCTTTTTTAATGTTTCATTTTGAGGTAGTGTCTGTGTCACTTTGAATTAACTTTTTAATAAGATCTTTAGCCATTTACTTATTGGAAATAAAGTATATGTAGAAAATAAAATATAAACACACTTGGAGTTCTACTAAGTAATAAATAGAATACAAGAATAATTCTGCTTCAGAAAGTTGAAACTAGAAAAAGTACCGTATTACTTCATCCTTACAAGTTTTTTAAATGTAATATTGGAGGGAAAGAAACTAACATTTACTTGGTCCCTATTCTGTGTGAGGTGCTTTCACATGATTTGGGTATATAATTATCATATTAGTACTACAAAATTGATTATATAATCCTTATAATGATACAGATAAGATTACAATTTCACTAGAAATCAAATGTATTGGTATTATTTCATCTTATTAGTAAATATTCTACAGATATTTCAAGTGTAGTTTAAAAACAATTTTCTTCCCTTTCTCTCTGAGCCCCTTTCTAGAAAAAATTGTGTAACATCAATGTTAATGTACCATATTATCATAGTCTAAAAAATTAGACAGGGTCACACAAGTACTAAGTGTAATAGTTAGATTTAAATTCAGTTAATCCACCTTCAAGAAGCTATACTCTCTTTTTTAAGAACCTATACTGACACTGTATGGTCCCAGCACTACTTTTGTTCTGCACACATGCTTCTATGGTGCTCTGTGACTATATTCCATTTAAAGTAGTTTCTTCTTCTTCTTCTTCTTCTTCTTCTTCTTCTTCTTCTTCTTCTTCTTCCTCTTCCTCTTCCTCTTCCTCTTCCTCTTCCTCTTCCTCTCCTCCTTCTTCTTCCTTCTCCTCCTCCTCCTCGCCCTCCTCACCCTCCTCTTCTCCTCTTCTTTCTCTTCTTCTCTTCCTCTTCCTCTTCTCCTCTCATCCTCCTCATCTTCCTCTTCCTTCTCCTCCTCTTTCTCCTCCTCTGCTTCTCCCTCTTCCTCTTCTTTCTCCTTCTCCTTCTCTTCCTTCTTCTCTTCTAGTTTCTTATTAACTAATCAGTGTTTTGTGTAGAATCTAGTTTCTCTCTTTTGTTATCTTCTTTTCATCCTCTCCACTATAAAAATAGTGATAATGATAATGATAATGATGACTGCTAGCTGGGGAGATAGCTCAGCAGCATCCACCTGCCTGGCAAGCACAAGATCCTGAGTTTGATCCCTGGTCCCATAAAAAAAATAAATAAAATCATGACTGCTAAATTTTTGAGCACTTAATAAGCCAGCTATCTTAATCCAAGCAACAACTCCTTTGAGGCAAATATTAACTCTGAATTTTAGATTTCTGAAGTTTAGAAAAGTGAAGCAACATGTGTGTTATGTTTGTACCTACAGTGTTCTCCCAAAGTTTTATATGTTCAGAGGTAGGGCTTTTAGAAGGTGATGGTGTCATAAGACATTAAATTCATCAGAGGATTGATCCCACTGATGAGTTAGA